TGCATGCATGAGGCCCTGGGTTCGATTCCTCAGCACCACATAAGCAAAAAGAAAAAAGCCGGAAGTGCCGGGCGCAGGTGGCTCACGCCTGTAATCCTAGCTACTCAGGAGGCTGAGATCTGAGAATCACGGTTCAAAGCCAGCCCGGGCAGGAAAGACTGTGAGACTCCTATCTCCAATAAACCACTAGAAAACCCGAAGTGGCGCTGTAGCTCAAGTGGTAGAGCGCTCGCCTTGAGCTGAAGAGCTGAGGGACAGCGCCCACGCCCAGAGTTCAAGACCCACGACCGACTGTGGCTCAAGTGGTAGAAGCTAGCCTCGAGCTGAAGAGCTGAGGGACAGCGCCCAGGCCCAGAGTTCAGGCCCCACGACTGGACCCAAAAAAAAAAATCACTTAATCTTCCAGTTATATCAGAGGAGCTCACAATTAGAGGTCATCATCCATTTACCAGTATTTGGTTTCAACTAATCAAAATACCCATTCAGGAACAGTGACTAATATATCAAATTAAGCACCATCTCTGGAAGGAACCTCATTCCTAGTTTTTTTTTGGTTTGTTTGGTTGGGTTTTATTGGTGGGGGCCTGGGTCATGGGGTCTGAACTCTGGGCCTGGGTGCTGTCCCTCAGCTCTTCAGCTCAAGGCTAGCACTCTACCAATTGAGCCACAGCACCACTTCTGGCTTTTTTCTTTTTGCTTATGTGGTGCTGAGGAATCGATCCCAGGGCCTCATGCATGCAAGGCAAAGCGCTCTACCACTGAGCCACCTTCCCAGCCCCCATTCCTAGTTTTTAAGATTTCTTATAAGCTGCCATGCCCACATAAGAAAAAAAAAGTGAAAATTTAAATTTCTAAGAGCTTCTCAGGCTTCTTTTCCTTGCCATTTAAAAAATGAAACAAAAATAGGGGCAGGCATAGTTGTTGACATATGTAATCCCAGCACTTGGAAGGTAGAGGTAAAAGGATTTCAAGTTCAAAGCCAGGCTGACCTACATAGTAAGATCCTGTCTCAAAAACAAGCAAACAAACAAACAAAAACAAGCAAAGATGTTTTAATCTTTCAATCATTCTTTGGGAGAACACCTGGCAGTATCCACAATGTGCCCAGTGGAAAAACTGAGACATGGGAATGTTAAGTGATTGCACAAGACTTTCATTCCCTATTCTTTACCTTCTCTATATTCCAAAACTATTTATGATCTTCATAATCTATATGCTACAATTAAGGTATCTGATCATATACTGTACTGTCATTGTTTACCATGTTCTTGGTACTCTATTTGTTTAATATGGTATCAATCCTATATCCTGGATATGACCACATGAAATGAAATGCTAACTAGTATCAGGCATAAGCTAAACACAATACTTACATTCTCTATCTTTAGACTAGCAAATCAGGTATATATTAATAATTCAATTTTATAGAACAAACAAATGTAAAGACATTAACTTCTCAATTCAAAGCTGGTAAGTCGTAGAGCTAGAATTATTTGACTACTGTGCTATTATTTAATTATATATTTATTATAGTATTCCAAAAACACCTATCATAGTGACAGTCATAGGTGATACTCAATAAATAATGACTGATGATTAATATAGCTCTAAGAGAGAAATCCAAGTTTACCATGCAGACTACAAGACCCTCATCTCTCTACATACCCATCAAACACACCTCACTTGAGGCCACTAAGCAACTTTCAACAAGTCATACAGCATTCCTTCAGCTCAACTGCTGCAAAAGAATGACAAGTTCCAAGCTTCCACATTGCTCAGTCAAAAGGTCTTGGCAGGCTGGTGGGGTTTCCAGTATGTACACTAGAAGCTTACTGAAACTTAGCCTGCCCTATGACACATACCTAAGCACAGGGAGCAAGGGGAGAAAAAAAAGACTGCAGCTGATAAAAGGATTCCTGGGCTCTGAATGGCAACATTATGAGCACTATGTAGGTTAAGGCAGTAGGTTCTCATACTTGCTGTAGGCGTGTCAGAAACTAGAGGTGAAAGCCAGAAAGAACACAGGCAAGAGAGGTATTAAAAATGATCTGGGAAAATACTGAGGACAAAAACATTTTTACTAAAATGTGAACGGGCTGGGGCTGGGAAGGTGGCTGAGTGGTAGAGCACTTGCCTTGCATGCATGAGGCCCTGGGTTTGATTCCTCAGCACCACATAAACAAAAAGAAAAAGAAGCCAGAAGTGGCACTGTGACTCAAGTGGTAGAGCTAGCCTTGAGCTGAAGAGCTGAGGGACAGCGCCCAGGCCCAGAGTTCAGGCCCCACGACCGGACCCATTAAATAAATAAATAAATAAATAAATAGGCCAGGCGCTGGTAGCTCACGCCTGTAATCCTAGCTACTCAGGAGGCTGAGATCTGAGGATCGTGGTTCAAAGCCAGCCCGGCAGGAGAGACC